ATTTCTAAGGAGGCCTGGATTTCTTCCATGAGACAGAGGTATTAGAAGTACAAAAATGCAAAGGTAGTATGGCTAGCTTAACTTTTAATTATAGCAGAACTATTATTGTGAGATAGCATTTAATTGTAAATATATTTAAATGTAAGACCATGCTGAAAGCTGGTGAGCAACATAGTAAGGTCCGATGGGGCGGTATGATCCTGCCCTCATCCCTGCAAAGAGGATTTGCAATAAATTTGCCAAGTTACCGCGTCTTTGTGACATCCTCCGCATCTTCAAGCTGTTACAGAGGGCAAAGACCTGATAAAGAAAACGCCTCACGTGCTAGAGTGCTTATGAGAAGGGGATAGCGAGCTCAGGGAGCCGCTGTGGAGGGTGCCGCAGCGCAGCGGCCTGGGCGCAGCAGCTGGAGCTCCACTTGCTGCCGAGGGCTCCTCTAAACAGGCTCCGTCTCGTAGCAACAAATAGGATCTAAAGGCTGGGTCCCCGCAGCAGGGCTATGACAGGCCGTGGGGTGAGCTCAGCAGAGCTGCAGCATCACGTCACCTCTTAACCACTCCTTCCATTGCCCATGCTTTTCTCCTATGAGAGTTACCTGTTCAACATTTCTGAGCTGCCATGCCAATCTCTTTAGTGGATGTCTGAATTTAAAGCAAATGTAGCTAGAGACATGTACAATAAGATAAAATTATGGATGTTTCTAAAACTCTCAGTGCTTATTTTATCACAGAACGAAAAAATCTAATATAGTCTCTGCATTGGTAGTTTTAGATACACACTTAAAGCAGGAGACTTTCTCAAAGACAATTCCCCCTCCGCCCCATAAACATGAGCACTGGGAATCCCTGTATGTCTGAGAGAAAGAACAGCTTCATGATACATCATCTACGCACAATAAATAAACATGTTTTAATTATTTTGATGCAAGAGGCAGCAGAGGATAGGAAAAGAGCAACAATAAATTCCATCCTGAACATCCAAATGTAGACTTTTGAGAACGGTTGACAAATGGCATGAGTTGACAGCTAACTACAGTAGCATTTCTGCTATTAAATATGCACTAGTTCTTTGTTAACCACTAAGCTGTTCAGTATAAAAGATACTTGGGAGAGAGAGAGGTGAGGGAAAGAAAACATTTGGGCAATTAAAATTTACATTTCATATTTGATTAGCAGAACAAGAATCTGGTTTCATTTATCATAAAGACTCATTTTTTTTTATTTTCCCAGCATGTTACACTAAAGAAACTGACTTTGAGAAAACAGAAATAGTTTCATAAAAATCAGCAAAAAATGGCACTAATTACCAGTAGCTGATAAAATTCAGGAATATGCAAAAATGAATCACTTATACTGTCCATGAATGCTAGAATTCTTCCTCTTAATCTCAAGTAAACTCTTAATAAAATTGTAGTGTTGTCAGGAAAGTGTTTATAATACAAAAAAGACATTATATACACATATACATACACACAGAGAATATATATATATATTTTATATATATATATAAAGTAAACTTGAATAGTGCCTTTATCAAGAGCATCTGAAGGCGCTCAAACATACTACTGTGACATTGACCCAAATTTATTCTCTCTTTGCTTTGGTTGAATTAAAGCAATCAGATTAAAAGTCTCATTTGAAACACCAAAGACATCTGAAACCCAAAGTTCAACAGCAACTTGGGTGACAGCAGCAGCATCTAAGAATCCACCCACTGCACTACCTGTTAGCTAAACATTAAATGGAGTCTAAATAAGTCGCTCCCACTCACAGTTTTGCACTTTGCAACAGCAGAAGATACATCAGTCTCCAAGTCACCCTCTGGTTATACATTCTATGTATTCTACTACAAATTGAAGATAGAAAAGACACAGCAAGAGGGCCTGCCCTAACACTTAATGTCATCAAGTATCAGAAGAGTATTTACAGTACAGTTACATGATTATAGCACATTTTATAAATACAAATTATATGCATACATGGGACACACACAAGAGAAATTTTAAAGAATTTCTTTCTTTACAAAGTGAAAGTTATCTGAACTAAAACTTACTGTAAGATCTCACAGCTGCCAGTTAGGACCATTTCTTCTCCACTGCAGTACAAACCAAACCTGTGCCAGGTCACTACTGAAATACTCCTGTTTTAAGCACCCTCTGCACGCATGTGTAGTGTGAAACTTAAGGGAGCTCTGTACACGGGCAAGGCTTAACATGCTAGAGAACTGCAGCAGCATCCCTTTATACAAAACCTCCTTCTGCCACTCAGAGAAGGACCCAAACTGCAATGCACTGCATTTTTTTTGCAAATAAATACATAAGAGTGCAGCACATGAATGGAAAAATTCAAACAAGGAACAAAAACTTCCAATGCTAAGGTAAAAAGAAAATGTCAGAAGTGTCTACTGAATTCTATAAAGATGTGAATTATTTCTATATTTGTTTCAGAATAGAAAAAATCTTTTTTTTTTCCAGTACTTCCACACCTGTTTAAAAGACTAAAGTATTTCTTCTAATAAAAAAACTCATGTTTTAGCTCATGCGGAACTCCTGGTGCCTTCAGAGCACTCCACTCCCCTTAAACACACGCGGGCTAAAAGCTCATCTGCACTGTTAGGAATATAATATGTACTGCAGGAAAAGGAGAAAGATACTCAGATAAAAATGCAGTTTCAACAGACAATTTAATGAGGAACTGACATTATTTTCCTCTGCAAACTTCACAAACAGTCACAGGTAAGGCAAGTTTGATTAAATCACCTTTAACCAGCAATATATTGTACTTTACTCCAGGACAAGTAGACCAGTTTTACTGGGATACTTACTATGAAGGAGAATAATCTTTGAAAGTTCACTTACATTAAAAAAAAAAGATTGTTTTCAAACCATAATGTATAAAATGGAGTAGTTATACACTGCAGCCATTTTATAGTATTCAAGCTAAATAATTCTTAAAAGCTATTCGGTTTCACCAACTGTAGAACTAGCAGAGAAAAATCATTTTTAAGCTACAATCTAGTTTGACCATAGGAAGTAATTGCTATTTAAGAAAATCAAGTGTTTTTAATAACTGTCTTTTTATCATGATAAGCATTTCACAGTACAGAGGTGAACATCCACAAACTTTTTTTTTTCCCCTGTGGCAAAGCCATCCCTCCTCTCTTTACTGCAGATCACTTCCTCCCCAGTTAGGCCAATATAAACTATTTATTCAGCTACACTTGAAAGCGGATCACTCCAATGAGCTAGGCTACAAGAAAAACATCTCCAAATATCAAACACTGACCATGTTTTTCACTGATGTGTTATTTAGCACAGGAGCAGAGACAGCTGCAGTAGCACAGCACAGAGGGACACAAGCACAGAAAGGGAGTATAGCTGGAAGCATGCAGAAATTTCATAGAACAGTTTGGTGACAAAAGTAAGCTAGTAACTGATGCTTGCTATGAGAAGAGCTATGAGCAGCAATTCTACAACGTTTAAGTAGTTAAAATACCTGTGGAGTGGCACAGAATAATAATTTAAGAGAAAATGAGTAATGTTGACAAGTACATTATTAAGATTAGTTGGAATTCAACTCCAAAGGAGGAATGTCTAAAAAGACACAAATCTAACTAAAAATAGTGCAGTATCTTTAGCACTGTGCTAGCTGTAGCAGAGAGAGAAAAATGTAATTCTTACATGTGTAAGTCCTGGCATTCTCACAGGGAGAACTGCTGTTCTGCTTAGAGGGCTGGCCAATAACCCTCTCACGGTGAGAGCAAGGGGATGCCCCCTCACCTGCAGTAAGAAATGTACAAAAGAATGCAGAACAAGGAAAGCGCTCTGTGTGCCAAGATTGCTTTTGAACAGGGCTCTGAGAGGGAAAGCTCGAAGCATAACAAGAGAAAGTGACAGCTCCCACTGACTGTACATGGTATTTCTCCTAACCAGGGTAAAAAAACATTAAAACTAAGTTAAATTTGCTCCTCAACAACAGTCTTAAAAGTCGTATTTTTTAATCTTTCCCATTACTATCTCAAGTGTGTAAGAATGAAAAGGAAACTTTAGAATACTTTCCTAACTAAAAATCCTGACTACAGCAGAATTTTACAGACTTTATATAATATGGCACATCAGAAAAATAAATGAGAAGATTTCAAAAAGTATTTTTCCTACAGCTCCGTTTCCTCCCATAACAGGACTGATGACAAGAGAAGAGCGAGCAGTTTCCAAGTGATACACCTTCTGCTTTAAGAGTAGCACTCATGTGCCACAGGGTTAATAACTTCAAATTCCAGTTACCCACCCAGAGAAGTCTAGTTTTGATGCCTCACCACTTCGCAATCCTAGTGTAGTCATGATTGATGCTTTCCTGCTGCAAAGCTGAGAACTCTGCCATTACTGCAGTGGCTACACATATTTCATCAGAGAGATGGCTCAGATTGTCCAACACTCCAAATAACTGGGCTAAATATGGTAATAAAGGAGCATATAGCAGCCGCCTTCTTTTTTTCCCCAGAAAAACATCAGATAGCTTTATTAGTGTAAAGTGGGTTTTTTAGTGTAAAGTGGGTTTTATATTTGGTCAATGCAAGGAACAACCACCATTAAAGAATTCTGGAACAAAGACTCATTTTTTAAAAAATTATTTAGTGTATGTACAAATAGATATCAAGCATCTCTTTATGAAAAAAGCAAAACAAAACCACATTATTTCCTATTTTGAGTACTTAGAGTACAGAGAACAGATAATAATATTCAGATCATAATTATTTTCATCAGACATCATCTCTCTAAATTAAATGATTAACAATGTTGGAATAAATTAACTTTTGAGGATTTACCTATATTTTGGGGAAGCAAAATGTACAGGGAGGGGAGACATAACTGTTTTAGTGTTTTTTTTTTTTTTTTTGTAAAAAAAGTGTGCATATAATTCCACCCTAGCGATCTTCTGCCAATTCTCTTATTAAAAGAGTTTTTTCAAAAACTTCAGCTACAAAGTAACCTTATCTTAACTATTTTTGTTTTATTCCTCTACTAAACATACACCAGGTCACGATTTTGAACCCCTCTACCTGCCTGTTCATCATCATCGTCGTCCTCCTCTGACTGCTGTTCTGAGCTTTGTGAATTATTACCATATTCATATTCAATGGGCTTTGGATTGTTGTAAGGGTAGCCATTGTCATCAAAAAACCTGCGGAACGTGAACTCATAAAAAGCATGTTCAGGATGTTTTCCATTTTTGTACCACCCATTAAGTGTATCATTTATGTTCCCTTCCTTATCATCATCACTCCACAATTTGTCTGGATCAACTGGATCAAAGTTTGATGTGTCTGTGGGATGAGCAATTTTGGGAATGTAGAAAGCAGACTGTCGGCGTAGATCGCTTGAAAAATCAATTGTTCTAAAAAATGGATGAGCTTTTATTTCATCGGCACCGTTTTTGCCTAAACGATCTTCTGGCCCTCGGCAGAGTTTAATAATAAGGTCGGAGGCCTCTGGAGTCAGTTTAGCTTGAGGTGGAATATGAAGAGCAGTTTGCCAGTTGATAACCTTAAAAGCAAAAAAGGAGGGGTTATCCTAATTAAAATTAAAAAATATATATATCATTTGACAGAGCAAGCATTTTAACCCCAGAGTGAAAACATGAAGCTGCTTTTTCAGAAAGACAGGAAATATTTTGTCTGTGAATTTAACTATCTAGATAAAAATTTTCCACATTCTAGGTCTAAGCAGCAATCTGCCTTAATAAAGCAAAGGTGTCACGAAGGCCAGCATCTGGAACCTGAACCCAGGCACTCAGCATACAATCACAAAAACAGCAAGGCAAATGGATTTTGAATTACTTCATGCACTGGAAATAAAGAGCTTTAAAGCTAACATTTAAGTCAACATGGCACTACATATGGGTCAACTAATAAAGGCAGCTTTGCAAAAAGTGGCAACTGCAGAAGATTTCCCTGGTAGATATTAAATGGCAGAGACTCAGGAAGGGAAGGACAAATATTTCTGAGGGGGACCAGCAACCCTGGGCAGCCCCTTTCACCCACTGCTCCTACACATCTACATGTTGAGGTAGCAGCACATGCTTCACCAAAGGAAATATGCTGCAGGTGACAACAGGGGGACAGGGAAGGCAAATGTTGAGAAAAGAACACCCAGACGCTGGAAGAAGAAAGAAAAGTGAGGACCTGGAAATTAACGCAGAATGGGAAATTTGAAATCTGAAATGTGATTATTAGTTGATGTATTTACTGTGTGAGTGAATAAAAGATACGGTCCTGATGCTTAAAGATCCATTACAAAATAAGGACTTTAGTAATGTAACATTATAATGTAATCCTGCTACTTAATAAAATACTTGTATACAACAACACTCTCAAAAATCACCTTTGATTCCATTAACATATTCTTTAGAATTTGTAATATCAAGTGCATTTCGTGGGTGGGTGGGTGGATGGTTCAGGCTGTCAACATGAATTTTTTTAAATTTACCTTCATTTGCGTCTCCAGGGGTGTTTGCGCCAGGAAAGGAGGCTGCCCCACTAACATTTCAAAGAGAATGACTCCAACGCTCCACCAGTCACACAATTGTGTGTAACCTGAAACGAAGTCAGAACTAGGTAATCAGAGCCTTAATATAACTTAAATCTTTTATCTATAAAAATAAAGAGGTGTTACTGAAGAACTCTATCCAGTATTTAAGACTTTCATATTATCAGTAAGATTTATCTTCGGTCAGACATCATAAAGTTGGCAAAAGGACATGCTTAGTAAGGAGGGGGAAGCACACCACCTGCTGTGTATCAGTTACTTTGCAGAATGATTCTGTAAAAGCCGCTCACCTGTCCGCAGCAGCACCTCGGGTGCAATGTAGTTGGGGGTGCCCACGAGGGAGTGGGCCAGGCAGCGCTGGTGCTGCCGCGCAGCCCGGCGCTCCAGCGGCTTCAGCCGGTCACCACACCTGCAGCTTGCCGGGTCGCCCCACTCGCTGCTGAAATCCATGCTGTCCTGGCGTGCGTGGTCACCTGCAACGGAGCGACACGCTGGCCAACACTGAGGAACACTGCTTTGGGCCTTGCCTAAGATCGGGACTGCTCCCTTTGCCAACAAGCCTTGTTTTAAGGCAGAATCTATTCAAATTCAGTATTCAAAGCATGGGAAAACGAGAACTAAAAAAGTCTTAACATATCAGGATTTCGATTTTTTTTTTAATAAATTATCAGCTTTTGAAGCTCTTATCAATTTTTTTTTGGCATAACGATGGCAAAGAATCAGATACCACCTTTTGTTAATTTTGCTGTTCAGAGAAGAAATGTCACTGTCTCCTGTCTACTCTTTAGCATTTAAGCCCTGGCAAAGAACAACGCTTCAACAAAAAGGAAAACATTTATATTTCTCTTACCGCTCTGGTAGTATTTTGAATCATGGGTCCATCGAAAACCTGTACAGAGCCCAAAGTCCGTCAATTTAATGTGACCATCACGGTCTATCAAAATGTTATCAGGTTTGATATCTCTGTGAATGAAGCCCATTTTATGAACACTTTCCACTGCGCAGGTCAGCTCTGCTGTGTAGAAGCGTGCCAGATTCTCTGGAAAAACACCCATTCTAATTAAGAGACTCATCATATCACCGCCTGGAATGTAGTCCATTACAAAGTACAAATTGTCCTTATCTTGGAAGGAATAGTACAGCCGAACCACCCATTCATTATCAGCTTCAGCAAGGATATCCCGCTCAGCCTTAACATGAGCAACTTGGTTCCTAAGCAATACATCCTTCTTTCTCAGGGTTTTCGTTGCATATAAAGCATTAGTATCCACTTTTCTTGCTAGGCAGACTTCTCCAAATGCCCCCACTCCCAGGGTTTTAATTTTTACAAACATCGACTTGTCCATTTTAGCTCTTCTTAGACGAATATAATTAGACTCTTTCTGGCACAACATTTTCCTCATTTGATCTCTGGCTTCTGGTGACAATCCAACCTGTGCAGCAAACAGAATTAAATCCGATAAGTGAATAGTGCTCTTAACTCTTGGGAGTCTTCCTATAATCAGAAGACTTAGGCAAAGCAAAACAAACACTTAATCCAAAATGTGGAAAAACACCTTAATTTTTAATGTATATATTAGAATTCTATGAAAACATGTAGGAGTGATACAAAACAAAACACGTGATCTCAGGGACACTTTTAACAGCAAAATGCACAAGGTGCCATGCACCAGCAGGTTCTTGAGAAGGGAGGATGTTCTCAAGGAGATAAGAGGGTGAGAAAGCAGACACTATCCTTCCCTTACATGAGGAGGCTGTGATGGAGAAGCGAAGCCAGAAGCCATTAGCGCTTGCTCCCTCTCGGATACTTTGTTTTCGTATTAAACTGTCAACTCATCAGTCAGGCGGTCTCCAAACGTCTGGACAAAATCATCCACGAGATTGTCTTGTGTAGCACCAGCATACATCCATGCAGCTTGAAAGTTTGTAAATTTTCCAGTTTAAACACAATCTGAAAGACTATCTACCATACCTTCAGACTGCTCTACCATGTTGGCTTGGGAATCAGTAAGGCCAAAAAAAAGTGTTCTATAGGCTCAGTTTCTCATGGATGCTCTGAATTAACAGCGTCACTGCTGAACTGTTTATTTACTTAATGATCTTTATAAGTACTGGCCTGAAGATTTTATAACTACATGTGAAAACTGTTCCCTTCCAGGTTTTTGTTGTTACTCTTTTTTCTTCACTTAGGAGAATCAGTGGAAACAACCTGCCAAGGATTCTGTCCTTTTCTGCTTCTTGGGAAAAGAAAACAAAGAAAGTCTGAAAGTTTTCTGCTTATTGTCTTAACTTTGAGCTCTTATCCATCTTGGAAGACAATACTGCATCTGCACATCTAGTAAATTGATAAAAAAGTTCGATCGCAGAGGCTAAAGTTTGCATTCTTACAATTGCTCATGCAGCTTAAATAAGTAGTATGTAGGAATTTTCTGTTGAAGAATCCAAACTCTTCTTAAAGATATATGTATTATCAATCTTTACAAACAATACAGAACTCTCAAGAAAACCAAGGTAAAAAGTAGAAACAAATGTATTTCATTTAAATTTCATTTTTCAAGCTTGCTTTTTACCTTGGTTTTCTTGAAACAAACGCATTTCATTTAAATTTCATTTTTCAAGCTTTCCTTTGCAGTAAAAGGACACAATCCCTCAAAAAACTATTTGATCATATTTGGCTAAATAACCTATCTTTGTACTAACTTTGCTAATGCCATCATCACCCATCATCCCTATGGAAATGTAGCTGAGGGTACAAAGATTACTGCATTAACTGCTTCCCTGATTCTTTACAGGACAAAAGAAGGCCAGGATTTGAATAGTATCAGCAAGTTTTTGAGAGTTAACTAAGGAGCTGCAGTAGGAAAGATCTCTACTAGCTAGAGTGGAAGTTACTGAAGTTCCTGACCACGCAGCAGAATTTCAGCCACAGGAAAGAGCGAGTATGTGACTCTCATGCTCCTCCATACAACCGCACACACCAGAGCCCCAAGCCAAGCATGTGTCTCCTACCATCCAACTCTCTGACAAAAGCCAAGAGGCGATCTTCCCTCCTAGCATAAAGTCCACCTCATTACAGCAGGGCTTCAGCCTCACTCTACTGCTTTCCACTCGCTGTTCCGGTAAGGGACGCAGGGTGGTTTCTCTCATATGGTTCACTCCTCCACACACTATCAGTTTCTTGGCTTCCATGTCAGGGTTTGCCCCTATCTTGAACGAACACCCCTGGTACTCTGGCCAACAGTACTAACATCCTGACAGCCACGCCACTCCCAGGCTAAAGAAACCCACCAGCTGGAGCATGGCAACCCTTCCCTTCCCTACAGTAACCACCTTGAGCATTTCTGTCATACTCCAACCCGCATTCCTTCTAGAATAGGAGGACTGGTGTCAATTCATTAAAGCATTTCAGGGCCATCTTCCCAGGCAAGTCAAAATCTCGCTTCTTTTTGGTTTTAATAAGGACAGAATCTTCCTTCAAACATTTATGTTCTTTTCCCTGATCCTACCCCCACCTAGCCATATGTTCATTACTACCTGTATGTTCATTTGTTCGTTTGCTTTCTTTCTGACAGCATTTGCAAACTTGCACATGGCTCCTTTTGAGAGTACTTCAGTTGTTTTATCTGCCGCTTGAAACCCTACAGCAATGATTTCTTAGTTCAACCTAACTTATACTTTCTCTGTGTCATTTTCTCCTTGACATTCTGATCCCAAAATTTAACATGGTTAAGCATCCTGGCAACTCCTACAAACATCACAACGTCTATTCAGCCACTACTCTGGAGGCTTTCCAACTTTTTTTTTTATATCATCTTATCAAATATTGTGGTTCCAAACCCTACCCACCTCTATCTTCTCACCACACAAGATATTATTTACAGTGTAATATAGAGGAAGAATTAGGTGACTGATAGTCTAAACTTCTATAAACTGTGTATTAATAGATGACTTATGCTTTGCATAACTTAAAATATAACTTGAAACAAAATACAACAGGCTTGAATGAGAAAGAAGCAATAATCGATGAGCTATACAGATGCCATTCAGGATGTTAAATACTTTCAGAACATTACATATCACCTATTCAAAAAAAATATATATACACACACACACGTGTGTGTGTGTGTGTGTGTGTTATATATATATATATGTAGTAGTAGTTAGGATTTGACAGTAGTAGTTTCAGACTGGATACAGGAAATAGTTTTAATTCCCTAGTCCAAATCAAGGATAGCAGATTTATGAAGTTATGTTTTCTACAACACATTACCATAGCAATGCAGAGGGCACTGTCTTTTCAGGACAAATATACAGCGAAAGACATCTCAAGTTTTCTGCGAATAAACATGCTTCTGGTGCATTTCAAAGCAGTAGGGGGAATTTTTGCAAACTTGAAACAAAGTTTCAAAGACAATTGAAAATCCAACCCTGTTAAAATTTAGACAATGGTGGCTCAGGTGTTCACTTCCCACCTGAACCATGAGGGCTGCTTCGGTGCAGCCTCACTTGTACACTGGAAGAGGTGGCAACAAAATCCTGGAAGCGAGAGCATCTGTAGCAACAAAACCCTGGATGGTGGGAGAGCCAGTGCAGCAATTAACCACTGCAAGTCATGTAAATACTATCTCCAAGAAGCTCCTAACTTTACCTTGCAGTTCTTTCTGGCTGTTGCACCCTAACATGTTTTTTGTGGTTAAAGCACTGCCTAAGCACACTAATCTGTTGTCTTCTCTTCCCAGTCCAGTCTTCACTTTTTCCCTACATCACTCATCAAAGCTTAAATATTCTGCCCAAACTGACCACTCTCCTATTCAGTACCAGATAAAAGAACTTACAATGCCACACAATTTGTTCTTATTACAATTCCTTCTAACCTGACTGTGTCTCATATCATGTTTAGCTGTTGTTTGGAGCAAAGATATTTTCAAAATTGTGGAGTATAATACTTGAGCATTAGAGTAATGGAAGTAAATCCACACATATGAATTGCGTATTACTTGCAATGATACTTCCATGCTATTCCCTAGGATACCTGATTCCATATGAAATGCTACTACAGCCACATTCTGGTAGCCTTTTTCTTTCAAATTTCCTACTAAAGGAAAGAAATTTACCCTCCTGTTTCCCATGACTATCTGTAATATGCTTGGTTGCTGTTGCATTTCTATCATTTTACCCTGATAAAAAAGGAAGATACCTACTGCAGCATAATAGACCCTTTTTTTCACTCTTCAGGGTGTCATCAAACACCTCACCTTTAAATCTAGCATTAATACCATAAATCTGTTTTTATTATTTACTTATTTCATTTTACTAGGATGCTTTAAACACCCAAGGAAGGTTGTATTAGTCTCTGTGTATCAGTAATACTTATGCCCGCGATTCTAGGGAAGACAATCAACACAGTAAGAAGGGAAAGTGAGGTTTACATATCAACATTAATTATAATCTTACATTTAAGTATTCAAATAGTCAAAATAAATTCATGCTTAATTTTGATGCAGGTATGCATGCAAAATTCTTTAAAAAGGGATCATGCTATTTTTAAATACTATTGCTCCAAAAATCTTACTTGCCTACACAGTGATGGATGCTACAGAGTTCAGGAAAGCTTTCCACACCTTAATAGTTTAAATCAGCTGTTAGTGGAAGTGAAAAGGAAAGAAAGACAGACTAAGAATAAAGAACTAGAAAGAGTTCCAGGAAGAAATTTTTCTAATATTTACATATGCTGCGATTAAGCATACACTTGTAAAACACCACAGCTTACAGTAAGAACTTTCAAGGAGTACAAAAACATGAACTTAAAAAGCAGCATTTCAAGAAAGTGGCATATGCCAAGAACATCTTTTTTTCCCCACAGAACCAGTCAAAAGATACATCATACTTCTGAAGTCAACACTACTTTAAAAAAAATAAAAAAAAATCACTTCACTGGTTTTCTTTTTGAAATGATGTATGTATATATAAGTTCCAAAATGTACCCTGTCAATTTCATTTAGTAGAACACAAAATCCCAGGAATGCACCAATGACTCTGCCTGGGCAGGAAAAAGTGTTTTTGATATGTTTTTCATTAACTCATACAATTATACCTTGTTTACATAGATACCATTACAATCTGTCTTATAAAATACTTTGACAAAAGGCACCATGTCTCTCTCTCTCTCTCAAAAAAAAAAAAAAAAGCCAAAACTATAGCTTTTTAATAGACTTTTTAGATATGAATTTCTAAAAGAAAAAAAGAAAGAAAAAGAATAACTGTATAACAACTGTATTAAGGTTTTGACCAACCTACCACTAGTCATTGCTTTGTTATTTCTACCTCCAATGTTTTGAAATATTAAAAACACTGCAGAAAATGCTCTCAAAAATCCATATTAAATATAACCTATAATAAAGCAATGAGTTGTATCATTAAATGCAAAGATTAAACATATAATAGAGCAATGAGTTGTATCATTAAATGCAAAGTTCATGCAAAAAAGATTTTTTCCTCCACTTTACCTTACTTGAATCAGATGACTTATGTTTAGTCACACAAATCTTACTTTCACAAAATTATTTTTAAGATGACAAAGTGCCTAAAAAAAGCAATGAAGATTTTGCCACACTTTAAAACCAAAAAACTAAACTTCCATACCATGCTATACTGCAATGTTCTGTTTATCTGTCCTATTTAAACTCATAACATACATCTTAATGAAAAAAATTCAAAGATTTAGAAAGAAGAAACTCATAACATACATTTCTTAATGAAAAAATTCAAAGATTTAGAAAGAAGAAAGATTTTACCCGCATCATTTCATTCTCTAGTTGTTTTTTCCGATGCAAACGCTGCTGATGTGACTTGAGTATATTTTCCACATGCTGCTCCATGAAGAACTTAAAGGCCTGAGGGGAGTAACTTTGAATGCGAGACTCTCTTCGTTCTTCGTCTTTTTTGTTTTTTCTAACAGGAACAGGTGATGTTGTTATTTGCTTCTTCTCTTTATCTGGTGAATCAAAACCTTCGTAATTCTTCTCGTTCTCTTCCTCCTTAGGTAAAACAGGTGGCTCCTCTTTGCTGAGCTTGGGCCCCGTCTCATAGGGATTCACAGCAGGATTCTGGTGTAACAAGTGCTTGGGGTAAGGTGGCGGGGGACCCTGGTAATTTGGAGCCTCAGCCACATGCGACAGAACTGCCAAATTTGTAGATGGACTCTCAGAGAAGGGCATGGCCTGCATGGTTTGCACAGGCTGCGGCATCCAGGCCGGGTGAGTTGGTGCCAAGGCGGTCTGGAGCTCGGGTTTTAGCACCCGCATGCTTTTTACTGGCTGCTGAATGGGCGCCGGGGTTATGGCTGTTACTGTGGTAGCTGAAGGCTGAGAACTGCCAGAATGACTCTGCCTACTCCCATGATGGTTGTTGAAGGAATTGGACCTTACTGGAACGCTGGGTTGCCACGTGGGTATTTCATGACCATTGCCAGGTGATGACTGTGGTTGTGCGGGTGGAGGCTGCGACCAGGACGCAGGAATTCCAGCTACATTTGTATTATAGAGTTCCATGTTGTGGCTATTCCTGTTTGGCACCATCATTGTCTGAGGAAGATTCCCGTTGGTGTAGGCTGCAGTAGGAGCAGATCCTCCTGCCTGCATCTGTAGTGCTGTAGGACTTTGCCTATTAGTAGGATTTATCGGGTATGGGGGTGGCTGGCGACTCACCGAGTTCCCGGACACGACATTCTGGTGCACTAAGAATTCTGCCTGGCAGTTGCCGTTTTGCATGGCAGCCCTTCCCGAGGGAAAGCCGAATTTGCTGTTGGCAGAGCTCTGCATGATGATCGGCTGCCTGCCAATGGGCACAGCACTCATGCCCCTCTGCGCCTGGGCAGGAGCGCTCATGGGTGGAGGATTCATCGATGGAGGCGGGTACCCGTCCTGCCACGTGCCGGGCGGCACGGGGGAAATGCGGGAGATGATGTATTCCATGCTTCCGGAGTAGCGTTTCGTCTGCGGGCCGGGCTCCCAGGAGGGCGGTGGTGGAGTAGTCCCCCTCGGCGGGGGCGTGTGCCCCCGTGGCGGCGGCGTCACGCTCCTGATCTGCGGCAGCGGTGGTGGGTTCACGCGCTGCCCTGTGCCAGGGTGGGCCTGAGCGAAGGCTGCGAGGCCGGAGCCGGACAAGGGCCTCCCGACGTCGGGCTGCGAGCTGGGGCTCTCCGAGCGGTAACCGACCCCGTCGCCCAGGGAAGGGCCGTGTCTCTGCGGCACCAAGGACTCCTTAGAACCCTTCCAGCTCTGCCGGCGGTGAACCGACTGCTGCACGGTTCCTCCTGGCAGAAAGAGAAAGGTAAAGCAACAATCATGTTACTGGAAGCTATTTCTATGCACTGATTTCACTAGCTTTCTGCATCAATTGCTACAGCATCACAATAGAAATTTTCATATTTAACACAATTGACTATTTTCCATCAAAGACTCATCTCCACCTGGTAATACACACATGGTGGTATGCCCAGCACACACTATATGAGCAAACAAAAGCTAAGAATCTATGTTATAGGGAAATTGCAGACATCACAAACCACTTTTCTGAAGATGCATTATTGATGTACCTGTAACTTTTAATTGAGAAATAAAGATCGCAACTTGCAGAATTATTAGGCACACTATGTATTTTAATTATGTGTGCAAGAAGCTCTCCAATAGGCACGAAAATAACGATTTGGAAAAGTGTTTAATCAGGTTGCTATCCTTTCCAGTTTATACTTGCAACAGAGAAATTGCTCTTTGACTAAAATTTAACTGAAATTCTGAAAAAAGCAAGCAGCCCACTCAAATCCTGTACTCAATACAGTTAGTCCAAGTTTATTATATTTTTCATATGCAAAATTCACATAAGCTACTTTCATTTTAACAGTTAGGAAGATTGGGGTAAAGTATTGTGTGGAGGCAAGAAATAAAATTGTATGAAAGCAAAAGTTACCCAAATAACTCAACAATATATTTATTTTACATATGTTACTTTGAATCTCAAACAAAACACTACATAAGGAATTGACAGTCTCGTTACTCTTTTAACAGCATTGAGATACCTGTAAATACACACAGTGCTAAAATTGCTGAAAGCCACTATATCTTCGACAAAATCATGTGAATTGGTACAACTTTGCAAGTAATAATGAATCCCCCCCACCCTAGCTGACAGCATGGTTTAGCATTTACCTAACCAGCTAGCCCTGTTTCACAGGCAAAATGAAAAGTAATGTTAAACTTTGCTAATATTGACTGCTTGTTTTTCTCATGCCTAGATCATCAATTTAAATGTAACTTTACAGAACAGTCAGCATTTGACTTTAGTTGAATAGCAGTTCAGTATTTGCTGCATTTGCAAAGTGCAGTCTAGGCACATGCTAGTAAAACCTGCTAAAAACAAAAACATAAAAATGCATTAAAAATGTGTTTGTATGTTTTAAAAGAGTAGTAACTGTGCCAAACTTTTTAAGCAGTTGCTACTAATGCTTTAGTCTGTCCCCTAAAAACCACAAAAGCATTAAGTCAGCCTTAGAAAACATTGAAAAAAAAAAAAACTGAAACCAAACAGAATTAACCATAGAGGGAGATCCAGAAACAGGGCAGCCCAAAATACAAATTCTGGAACCAACTGCCACATTTATACATGGTGCTGTTCTGTGGGATAACGTGTGAAGAGAAAAAAGAATTGAAGTAAGAATTTACCCTCCGAGACCTTCCCCAGACTGAGCTGCAGCGCTTACCACCAACTTCTACATGGCAACTGCCATTAACAGCTAAGTACAGGTACAGGTGTCAAATAGGGGCAAAAACGACTAAAATGAAACCTAAATGAGACCTCAATATCATTCTTTAGATATAATACTAAAAAAATCATGTTCACCTAAAAGACTCAGGTCAAATACACATATTTGCCAGAAGAACTCTGTAATATATTTTAGACACTATTTTTAAAGGAAAAAAGTCTAAGTTAACATCTCATTCTCTCCTGTTGTAGGCACATGAATTCACTATTTTACATTTTTCCACCTGTAAGAAAACACTGAGTTACTGAATTACCCTGGATACACTTACCTGGTGGTTTCATACCTGCATTAACAGGTCTTGCTGCTGCTGCAACCATCTGCTCCCGACGAGAATCCTGGTAGCTCATTTTACTAATAAATTCAATTGCTGCTTCTATACTACGGTTGTTAGTTTGCCTGAGAGCTTGTACAACCATATCCTAAAGGAAAAATTGTATGCAAAAAAAATAAAAGTTACAAAAGTGGGCAACAATAGCAAAAGTCATGGGAATTCGGCCAAATACCCCTCCATACTTTTATCAAGGTACGTCACTAATTTCTGTCAAACAATTTAAAAACAATCTAAAAATCTTCCCTCCCCAACAGATCCTCACACACACTTAAGCTGTCTAGAGCTTCAGAAAAAAATAAGCTACTTGAAGCACCTATTTTTCTGTAAATTCTGTGTCATCTCACCATTCTTGCATAGCTTGTCCATACAGGCAAACTGATACTGAGAAGCACAACTCAGGTTACAGCTTACTTATACAATGACCAGAGATCTCTTCCAACCAAAATTATTTTATGACAAATACCCTAATGTGAAATTCAAAAGCTTGTTTTTGCTAATTTTTGGTCAACTCAGAATGACTTCTGTCCACAAATACTCCATTACTTTCTCTGAAAGAAAGATCTGTGCATGAAGACAATATGTCAGAGCAATCACTTGAGTTCACATTGTTTGAAAAGGTTACCAGCATAAGACATGATTTGCCTACTAAAATCAATGGGACATCAGTCAGCAGTTAGAGTAGCTAGCATCAGTTTTGAGTTCAAACTCACATGCATAAGTTCACCATGTGACGCACATTTTTGACATTATAAATGTGTATAATTACACACAGCCATAAATACCAGTAACTGAATTTAGTGGACAAAACATAACCTTGAAAGGGGATTTTAAAAGAAACAGAAGTATAGAATAAGCCTGCAGGATGGTTTACAGGCCAGCTGTCATAGTTCAAAAAAAGCAGATGCCACTTTTGATCACAGAGCTCCTTCATCAGATGGCTATGCCTGCACTGCTTCTACAGTTAGAGACGAGCCTAATTTGTTGCAAAGATGTACGTTTTCAGCACCGCTATGCTGCTTGATCATTGAGCAAACAGAAGACTTAACTTGCCCACAGTATTTCAGTCCCACTTCGGATGTGCTTTTAGAGGATTCATTATTCACTTCTATCCACCAACCTTAAATTTGTTTTTGATACACTGATTAAAAAGTAAATTATTGGCTTTTCAGCAAAATAAGTCTGCAATATATAAAATAACAAACTCACTTAATCAAGCCATAAAGACAGACAGAATCTTAAAGAACACTACCAGCAATATTTTAAAGAAAAAATTGCATTTTATCCTTAGTTTTCTCTCTCTGCTAACCAGAGGATCTGAGGAAGAATCAAAGGACATATTTCTCCTCTGGCTGAAGAACAAAAAACACTGTAGTCACCTACGTGGCAAAGTATTAAATGTCTTGAAGTGTATCACCTAATGCAGAAGATATGAGGACTGAACAGGCGAGAGAGTTCCTGGGAGCTACTAAAAGCAAACAAAAAAGCAAAACAAGCAAAGCCTTCCGTAGTGTTCTATATACAGAAAAAAAAAAATGCAGAAAATCATTATGTTTCCAAACACTAAGTTCTGACTGTGTCACCACATGCTGACTACAGAATACAGCAAAGAGATCTTTCTCTAGTTTAAAATAAATTTATATGAACAACTTGAGGCCCATGTTCAAAAGGTCAATGAAATCTTGCTTAAAGTCATGATGAAGAAACATTGCTCATATAGCCACATCCAGATCAATCAAAATAAATAATGGACTTGGACTTGGTAACAATTAGGTACAGTGTTAATCTCTACGGAAAGCCTGCAGTACATCAAGGATGGTGTAAGTAAAAGTTGCATGTGTCATCTGCTAAATCATGAACACACCCAAAGGATGTGGGAAACAGCCCAGCCTGGCCAACTGCTAGTAGCATCTCACTTATAATCCAGTTCAAAAAATGATCTCAGCTCCAGACATACTCCCCTTTCATTCCTAGCCGTCTCAGCCTCTCCAGGAAAAATGCTTTCCTGTCTCAGCTGTACCTGTTCTCTGCACGTTCACAGGCGAATCCATAGGGACAACCATGGACAGGGAAACACAAGTCTAGCCTAACTGCCTGGAAAAGAAAATCCATGTAATTGCAAAAAAAGTGTCCAGGGAATTGTCAGTTGCATCCAAGAATGAACCACAGAGCTAAAGGATTTTAAGATACAAATAATCCAATGAAACTACTGACTCAAGATACTTTCTAGTTTATTCTCTGGCCACTCTTCAATTTGTGTAGATGACTGTGGACTCATTCTGTACAAGTGGACCTGAAAACAGATCTACTGTAAAAAACAACTCAGCAACAAACCATGCAGCAGCAACAATTCCTTATAAAACTATTCACCATCATAAAAATCCTTTCTACTCTTAATGAAATAAATAAAAATAAATAAATAAATAAATAAAAAGCAATCTGGACTGTGTACTTGGGTAAGCCATGAAAACACACTCTCAGCACCTGATAAAGCAATGTGATATAGAAAACACCAGTTTAGCTTTGGAGAAATTGAATTCTTTCTACACGCAGAGCTTGCTCAGAATGCCTTGAAGCACCAGGCAGCACGTTGGAGCTGGTCTTTGCTGAGATCCGTGAAATTGCTGCTCTGCTGAAAGGGCCATCCCGGCTGCAGTGCAGGACCATTTCTCTTGGGAAGACAAGCGGTTTGCTAGCTTTCTTTAACCTGTTTTTATACTCAAGTTTACAAAACATTCATGAAAACGCGCGTGAATTTAGTTTGATGTGCACATCCCAATAGAAACACAAGAGAGATTAATTTCTTATTCCTAGAAAGCAGATTGTCCATCAATACAACTCAGATTCTCATACTAAAGTGAATTAATTAAAAATAAGTCTAGCGAATAATTTCACAATGCAGACTGCAATTTTCTAGTTTTCTGTTCTTATAATGACAACAATACCAGAGCATATATCCAAGTTTACAAGATACATCCTCAATAGAAAAACACGGAGATTGTAATTCAGAGAAGATATCCTACAATGTTTCTGTTAAGAAACCCGTTATTTTATCTGTACCTGACAAAGTGCATAATGTAAAGATATACAAAACTACCCATGTGAAAAGTGCAATTAAAATTCATTTCCAAAGTATTTGATTTAGTTTGTTAGCAGTTAGTAGATGCTTTTCAATTCAGAATGGCCATATTTTATCAACATATTTTAACAGAGCATAATTCAAAATTCTGTTGAGTATGTGAGGAAAAAAAAAAATCCATGTTCTAAAGAGCCCATTTCTGTCTGTCTAAAAATGAAAAAAAAAAAAAAAACAGCCCACTCCAACCACACAAGAACATGTGCTAAAAAAAGGCCAAACATCTCTAAATCCTTTTGTTCCTCTCCTTCACTCCTCAATGCCATTAGTCTCATTAAGTCCTAATTAGAAACCTGACAGATTTTCAAGGAAATATTCTGCACATATTAGTTGTTTAAACTGTTTATGACCAATCCCTCACTCCAAGCATGTAGTAATACTTTACAGTTAGAAAAACAACAGATCTTGAAAATAAAATACTTCACCTCATCAAAGCCAGCAGCTTGCAAATCTTGCAGCATTTGTCGATTAACTTCTGATGTTCCTTTGACTGCTGAGTTGGTTTCATTTGCAAAAGGCAGAAGTGAGTTTCGTATCTCCTGCAAAACCTTATGGTATGTAACAAATTTAGGTGGATTTCGGCCTTGTCTAGGATCTTCAGATGACATTTTGCCCATGCTGTGATCAGCTTTAGCAGCATCGGAGGGTTTAGGTAAATTCCTGAGGCTCTCTCGTATTTCCTGTAACATCTGCTGGCTACTGCCAGTGTAGTTACTGGCAGGAAAAGTCTTAGGCCTCATTTGTCTATAACCTTCTGGCTTCTCACTTCTCTTCATGAAAACATGTATACAGGCAACCTCCACCAAGGACTTGTGCACACAAAATTCAACAAAGATTATCTGGTAGTTTCAGAATTTGTGAAAGCAGTGACTATCATTCACCGTCTAGCTGCGTTTCCTGTAGCGCTGAATTTTCTCGTAACCCAAAATTGCTATTCTGGAACAAAACAAAACAGAAGAATTCCTGTTACACATAAAGGAATGAAATTAAAAAAAAAAAATCCCACAATATAGCACTAGTACTGGTGAAATGTTCACATGTAGCATTGCCTCTTTGGTACTGAACACATACTAAGCAACATCAGGCAACCTTTAGTCAATCTGAATTACAAATTGCACTGGCCTTCTAACATGCCATCAATAAATACCATTTTACATGCATCAAGTCTGAACAGCCTTAAATTAAAAGAATCTGGAGTAAAGAGAAACTGAGGGTGGTTGACAGTGTTTTCAAGAAGTTGATGGTATTGACCCCCCTTCTCTCTGTCCAGTCTCTAAAAATGGAAGTATTAACTCCTCTCTTGATGGATCAGTTAGCTAGGATATAGCCTTCATAGCCTGTTCAACAAATCTGCCATCAAGCTCCACGTACATATTTGTAACAATTTTATTCACTGTTTATTAGTCATACATTTAAATAACAAACACTAGGCAAGCTCATGCAAGCTTACGATTTTTTGTAATATTTTCCATTTCATTCTTTTTAAGGGCTCAGCTTTCTAAGGCTCCCACAGTTTCTCAGCTCCAATCTTGACGCAGTTGCTGTCAATAATTCAGTGATTTTTCACATAAGGGGAGAAGGGTGGAGAGATGAAAAAAAGAAAGCTTAAAATTTTTAATCTTGAATTTTTGTTTCTGTAAAATTGTTTAACAGCTCAAGCATCAAGTTCACTGAGAGCACATTTGGTAACGGAAACAGAACATTCTGCCAAAAACAAATAAATAACGTTTGTGTTCTGAAGCAGCTGACTCATCAGGGAGAACCGTGTGCTCCGCAGCAAAGGAAAACCTTTGCATTTGTGCCATGCAGCCAGCTTGAACTGTAACTGGTATGAGAAAGGATAGGGCAACCAATCCATAACACTGTTGCAGAGTACCATGAAATAAAACTTTTTGCATCTCCATAGAGGAAGAACATATGGTAAAGGCAGGGCAAGATACAAAAATCACATACTCTAGCATTGCCTTTTTTCCCAAAAGCAACTAAAAGAATGCTAAAACAGAATTTATGCTACCCCTCCTCTACGAATAACAATGCAAAAAAAGTTTCATTTTTCTTTTGTTTCTCAGTGTTAAAATTCTGCATTTCTAGTTTTGTGATTGTTTTTGAGGACTCTGATGGTTATAAAAACCGCTTCTCTCTCAAGGAGAGCATAGACAAAAGTGTTTCTCATATTGGACATCTGAATTAAACAGATGCCTCAGTAGTTTTAAACAATCTACACAAAAGTCACTCCCCCTCCATCCAAGTTTCATTTTTACCATACTGGCAGGTCATAAATCTACTATCAATTCAGTAATTGAGGAAGAACATAACAAAAAGCTAGCAGGGAAGGAATCCCTGTAATTCAGATGCAAGTTACATAAATGAAATGTACACGCTACCCAAATATGAAACTGGAAAGCTCAGAAGGGTAGTACATAAATAAAGATGAAGAAAAAGAAACATAAGGGATAGCAAACTAACCCTCTTTTCCTTGGCCAATCTCTTCAGAAATAATTTACTTTTTCTAATGCAATTCTCCAAATCTTAAGTGCTATGACTGTACTCACAAGATTTCTTTCACCTAGGCCAAGCTTGCAACTTTAAGAGAATGTCATTTGAGAGCAACATTAAAACTTTTTCAGCGGGCTGGTAATCCACGTCTCAAGTTCTCACTAAAAAATGAAAAGACCATCAGGTATCTAAGTGAAATTTAATAATAAAAGGTGAAGTTTTGTGAAAGTACTAACTAATCTAGATACAGTAGAAAGCATGCCACGACTGAAATTAAAATGCAATTTCACCTTGGCCACTTTCAAGACCAGTTAAAACCATACATAATTTAAGACGATATGGAAAATATTTGGTTAAAAACACTTCCTTTTCTTCTCCAAAGGAGGATAAAGCTTCTTTAGACCATTTTACTAGAATTCATCAAATTTTGCTTTTCCAAGGAAGTTTCCTTTCTTTTAAAGGCCTCTGTTTTTTTTTTTTTTTTTTTAAAAAAAAAAAAGGTGTTGATACACAGAAGTCTGATAGGGTAGATGAGAATAACATTAAAAAGAATTAACACCTCCACAAAAGTGAAACTTCTATCATAAACTCATCCCAGAACACATAACAGCAAGCTTGAATAGCTTAGAGGCTTAGTAATTCAGATAACTTGTTCAAATTCAGTCAAAATTAGGAGTAATTACTAGCTCACCACTGGCAGGTAACCTAGATAAAACAGTTGAAAACCATCTTATGTCAGACAAGCATCAAGCAAGAGAAGTATGTATACATAAAAAAAAAAAAAAAAAGTCCATATACAAGCTCTTCCTTTTAACATGTTCCAAAGTCTTGGAATCCAAGAGAAAACACTTAGAAAAAACACTTGCACCATAATTTTATTTGGTGTTTCCACATTCACATTACAGTCTGCCTGAAGGCAGCTGAGATAATTTAACCTGGAGTTCTCCTGTTTAAGATGACGTTAATCTGTAAATCAGGAAACATAAAGTCTATCACCTATTCAGTCATATGGCTGCGGGGGGGAGTGGGAAATCACCTTGTACACTGACATCTTTATGTGTTTAAAAAATATATATATTTCTTTTAAAAATGCTTTGAGAATTTTAATACAAGGGATGCTCTAAGCATGTGATAACTATTATTTTGTTGGCAATTGCAGCATATGGTATATATATAAAGTAATCTTGGGAGATAAAGTCACTTTCACATACGTTTTTAGCAGAAGTAGTGGTTTACATCAGCATAAAATTGCCAGTCCACTTACTCTGTGCCAGCATAAGTAAGGCCACACAGAGTGAATCAAGCCAGGGAACTTATCCAGATAAAAACTTTTTTTTTTTTTTAATCCCCGATGGGTTGTTTCTTTTGGCAGCAATATTGGTTAACAATTTCATGGGTATGTGAAACTAGAGTCTTTAATTGCTCAGAAACCCAATTAAAACAGTCCTCTACCTTAATGAGGTAAGAAGAAGGAAGCGTTATCATTGACTACACTTCTCCTTGCTTTGGAGAACCCCAAAATTCAGAGACCATCAAGACACCTCCTCTTACAGACATTTGTATACTTTTAAAAATACAGTGAAAAAGTACTTTCTTCTACAGGTCAAATTGTAAAGTTAAAAAAAAAAGTAGTCTGTTTATTTTGTATCACAAAAGATTGGAGCATAAAAAAAAAAAAAAAAAGGTATTTGAATGAAAACACTAAGCGTGCAGATGACAGCACATGAACCTGCTCACTCAGTGCCTTTTACTTCTCTGGAAAAGAAAGTACTACACTTTGTAATAGCTAATACCACAAAAATTTAGAATTTACACTTAAATACTATATGGTGCTTCATATTCAACTGGAAATGAAAATAATTTAGTTTCCTCTCCCATAGGCCTATTCTAATACCTTATTTTGCACATAAACTCAATCAACTCTCTTGTTAGAAAAGGTTTAAAACAAGAATTTAGGAGGCATCAAATTAAGTTTGTAGGGGCTTTGTTCAAACCAAAGGAAGCAATTCTTCAAGTAACAGGAGGTTCAGCTGCAAAGTTCTTTGACCAAGGATTTTCTCAGCACTGAAGATTTACAGAGAATGGTGAGGAAATTGGGCCCTGAAAAAAAATGTAAATAATTATGTCTACACACATTTGAGGAAGACTTCGATGAAAATGCCTGGAGGCTGGCTGGACATGAGGAGCACCGCATGCCCGCTGTGCTCCTTGCCATTCACAGGCTACCTCCTTTCAACAGGAAACAGCTCTCCTCATGTTCAAATGTGTTCCCTGTTAACATTATTAGTTATTCCTCGACATAACCTGTGTCGCTACCAGCAGAACAGCTGCTAAAACCAAGGCGTAGGCAGTGCTGGCACCAACAGGTACTTTTCTAACGGCCAGGAAGAATCCCTCATGTCAAGCACCGTGCAGACCATAAGCCAAATGCTGGGGCGAAGATGTTCCCTGTGTGACAACCCCGAGCACCTCGAGCCTACCCACGGCGCTGGGACGCCGCATTCCCGTTGCAGAACAAGCCCCACATGTCGGCCAAAGCAAAAAGGACACGCGCGCACTGCGGCGCACGCGTGAGCGCAACGCGCGGGGGAGCGCGGCCTTCCCGCTACCCGCGGCACCAACGCGGCCGAGCGCCACGCTCGGCCGGCACCTC